TTTGGTTTTTGGTTTTTTGGAAGAAATTTGGGTTATAGTGCTTAAGACAGTAGTCAAAGTTTTGCTCATCCCTCACAATCGTAATTATTCAAGTGATAGGGATTAAGTACATGCTGTGGTAAAGGCCAGCTCTCTAACATAATGATCTTCACACTCTTCCCCTGCTCACTAAAATGCAAGGCTCTACAGAAGTAAAGGAACTGAGACACAAAGTACTCATCTCAAGAGACAATGCACCCAGATACTTCATGAACTTTGAAGCTAAAGACGTCTTTGAATTTGTAGGATATCTAAACTATATCTCAGTGAATTGACAAAATGAGATTCCACAGTGTCTGCTGTAATATTCTGTAAAGTACATGTAGTCATTCCTCAATAGCCACAGGAGATTGATTCTAGGACCTCCAGGCATACCTAAACCTCTGGATCCATATGCAGTGACAGTATTTGCACAGAACATAAGTATATTCTCCTGTATATTTTATATATTACTTATAATTCTAAATTCCATATAAGTGCAATGTAAATAGTTACCATATTCCTCAGGAATACTGATAAAGAATGTGTGTTACAGATATAGTTACAGTTTTTAAAAAGTACTTAGGATCCCAAGTATGATTGGGTGCTGAAACCACAAATACAGAGGGCCAACTGTAGTGCTGTGTTCACTGATTTTGATATTAAAAACTATTACTTGAGATATAGCAAGACTTCATAGGTCAGGGCTTGAATTTTTGAGCCAAATAAACCTTTAGTTTTAAGCTTTCCTTTTACTAACTTTAATCTTTTGATGCCTGTCTCACCTCTGCTCCAAAAATGGATATAATTTGTAGTGTCACTTGACTTGGTATTGTTAGGAGTAAAACAAGTAAGATAGTGGATGTGATTATTATTAGTATGCCTAATAAGAACTCTATTGTATTTTTATTATTCCAGATGAATACCAATTTATGCTAGCTCTTGGCCACCATTAATAAACTATGTATTCCTCATTTGTCTCCTCTTTGCCAGGATAAAAGCATCATTAAATCTCATCCTTTTTCTTTCCTTTCAAGGTTAGTAGAATAGTTATAATACCATGATAATTTCTACATACTAATTGTTTAAAATAGAAACCAACCCATTTGGACTGTTTCTAATTATACAGTATTGCAAATGAAATGCTATTGTTATTTCAAGTATATTTAGGAGGAATAAATAAATAAATCCTGATGAGTAGATGTCCTGCTTGAAATACTTTAGTCACTCTGCACTTCATTATTTTTCATGCACACACACTGCTTCTAGAATGTGTTAGGTGGGCTGACGATACTCGGCTGGGAGCAGTGCGTTTAGCTATTTCATGAGCATAATTCTTTGCTTTCTCCAGGCTGGGTTTTTTTTTTTTTTTTTTTTTTTTTGCTTTACTAGTTGGTAACAGTTCTCACCTCCTGAGATTTAACTTCTTCACTTGATTTTATATAAAGGGTTATACTCAGCTTTCATACCTAACCTGTTACCATTCCTGTACATATGCTTTGGCTGACAGTCAGGATAGCTTATAACATATGAGGGACTAAAAACTTCCCCTTCAAACCTAATGACAAAGCATTAAGATTGGACATTTTAACTGTCTTGCCTTTCTGTTCCTTGTGTAAGGAAGCGCTGGAGTTTGAGGTCCTTGTTCTTACCATGGTTCCTTACAAAACCTTGATTGATACCTTCTTTTTTTAGTCATTGAAGTTTCAGTTAAAGTGACTTAGTAAAACTTTTTTAAATCCCCGAAATGCTTACAATTCTTAATTGTAATATTTACTCCAACTTTCTGTAAAGGTAAGATTCTTTTAAGCACAACATCCAGTTAGCTATCTCTCCCTGTTCCTTCCTCTTCCTCACTCTCCTCTCTTTCCTGGGACAGTCTTGCTATGTAGTAGAGGCTGACGTGGACCTTGTGAGGAAACTCAAGCTGGCCTATGTCATCCTGTTAAGTCCTGGTATCACAGATGTGTGCCACCTGGTTCATTTTCATTCCACATGTTGCTGTCTTTATTAGTTAGTTATTTAGTTTTTTTGAGACAGGGTTGCTCTGTGTAGTTCTTGCTGTCCTGGAACTCACTATGTAGACCAGGCTGGTCTCAAACTCAAGAGATCTGCTTGCCTATACTTCCCATGCTCCCAGGTGTTGATATTAAAGGCATGTGCCACCTTTCCTAGCTCACATGTTACTGTATTTAAAAAACAAAACACAAACCTCATGACTATGAAACACTGTTCTAGGAGAGTCATGTATTTTGATCATATTCTAATTTGGTTTAGTAGATTTCTTCAATTACATTTAGTAAAGTACGATAAGATCTTGTCTTTTTCCAAATTCAGATAGGAACTTTTTAACAATAACCATGTGAAATGCTGCCTGAAGATTCTGACATGCATAGTGAATGCTGTTTTACAAGTAATTCATAGAAACTATTAATGAGTAAGGCAAAATTGTTTTTTATTTATCACTACACTACAAAAAATAAAGGTCACATGTCCTAAAGGTACTGGTTGATAAGTCCTTGATACTTCAGCCAAATACTTGGTATCTAAAGCTTCCATATGTTGATGCCTAACCTTTATTGTACTCATTCTTTTATTTTACATGGTATCTGAAGTTACTGTAGTGGAAACTTTTAAAACTAGCATCTGTTTAGAATACAAGGATGTAGGATTTTGACCTGTTGGTTTTAAATATTCAGCTACTTAACAACCTGCCTCAGTAACTGGCATCCGCCAGGTTTGTCAAAGACATTTTTAAGGTTGCATAGGAAAGTGTGACTGACATGTAAGAGGGGCCATGGTACAGTGAAAAATGTGCATGAAAGATGCAAATAGCTATGTTCTGAGCCATGTTTGCAATTAATTCCAAGCTAGTCAACTGCAACCTTACTACACAACTGTGGAGGGTGAAACACCCAATCCTCAGTTTCTTCATGTATAAAGATTGTGTTGGGCCGGGCGGTGGTGGCACACGCCTTTAATCCCAGCACTCGGAGGCAGAGCCAGGCGGATCTCTGTTGAGTTCGAGGCCAGCCTGGGCTACCAAGTGAGCTCCAGGAAAGGCGCAAAGCTACACAGAGAAACCCTGTCTTGAAAAACCAAAAAAAAAAAAAAAAAAAAAAAAGATTGTGTTGGATGAATAATAATATTTGTGTCAAAGTCTGTGGCATTTTTGATGTTTAGAAAACCATAAATTTTCATATAAAATGTGTTTACAAAGTCAAATAATGAGCCAGGAAATTGTGACCAAAAGTACATTTCTACACTGTAACATGGCTGGTAACCTATCAAATTCTCTCCTATGCTTCTGCAACTTTAGTTTCAAAGTTTTAGACTCTGCCTATAATGTTCTTACTCAGTTTCATATGCTGGTAATGGAGACACCTGCAGAGCTATGCTGCACGGTGACTTTGTTTTTTCAAATATATCAACTGTAATAACAGGAACACAGTTAGCTATGTTTCAAAACATGCTGTGACCAGAATGTTCATTTGTTTTTCCAGTGTTGCATATAAAGATGAATTACAGAGAACATTGCACCAATTACATTTGTAAAAGATTTGTAGCTTGCTTATACCAGATGCTGTTGTGACTATTGAAATTGGTTTAATTTGACCAGGCACAGCTTAGAATTGTTTGGTCTTAAGTGAAAAACAATGGAAGGTTCAACTGCAGTACCCTGTTTTGATACTGGCATAGAAGCTAGATCCTGGGAGTTGAACATTGGCTTTTATGTGGTTTGAAGGTTATAATTTATTAATGGGCTGTATAGACTTTCGACTTTTATAGTAGTGGTGTAAGGGAATTGGTATTTGTATTCTTGGTTTCAGAATTTGGCCAATTAAAACAGAACACTTTAATAAGCTTATTTATTTCAAATAAAAACAAATTAAAGTGTGTACAGTTAAAAAGATGAGCCACTTCTGCTGTCATCAGTTCTCTCCAAGCCCAGAGAAAGAGGAGATGGAAGAAATAAGTACAAGGAGGAAAATAGGTGCATAGACTCCACAAAAATGAGTGATAACATCCAAGAATAATGCAGGGATTTTCATTTTCAAAAATTTTCATCAATAAAATAACTTCTGATCTTGGTGGTGCACACCTGCATTTGCACACTGAGGCAGGAGAATTGGGAGTTTGAAGTCAAGCCTGCATTACAAAGTAAAACTTTATCTCAAAGTTTTGTAGCTTTATCTTATAGGTTATGCATATTATAAAACAAGAATAGATTATCTTTTCTTTATCACTGTGAAAATGATTTTTCCCTTCCATTTTGAAATGAGTTACCAAGTTTTTCAGATACGCTGCTATCTGAAAATACCTTCTGCCCCTCCTCTAAAATTTGATGCTGCTTTCTCTTAGCTTACATTTGTTTATCTATTTCACCTAAGTCTTCAAACTTATTTACATGTAGTTTATAAATTATCTAATAATCCTGAATAAGTTTTTCTCAGTCTGTGGCTATGTCCCATTTTCACTTGGTGTTTAACTGTTCTACATACTGCAATAGAGAATAAAGATGTTTTCCGTAATATTTTATAATCTCAAAGTTAAAAATGTGCATGTCAGTGCCTTCCATGAAAGTAATCTGTTTGCCTCACCCTGCTGCCTGATGTTTTGTTTCCTTCCTTTGCCAATAAAGGAATAAAGGTGAAGACTCTCCCCTTACCTTTTATACCAAGATGTTTAGAACATTTTTTCTTAACTAAATGATTTTTTTTTAATGTAGCTTCATGGGACACAATTTAGACTATTTAAGATCTCTTGGGATTTCTTCATGGCTCCTACCAGCCTAAGTTCCTTTCTGGGGGAAGTGGGAGGGGTGTTTCGAGACTGGGTTCCTCTTTGTGACAGCTCTGGCTGTCCTGAATCTGGCTTTGTAAACCACCAGGCTAGTCTCCAACTCACAGAGATCCACCTGCCTCTGCAACCCATGTGCTGGGAGTAAAGGCATGAGACACCATACCCAGTGCCTAAATTCTTAATAAACATCTAAAAGTATTCTTAATCACAAATTTTACATCACTTGCCTTTAAAACACAGTCTGCTTTTATTTTAAATATCCAAGGTACTTGCATCCTAAAAAAAAAAATGGTGTTAAAACAAATAATAACTATATGTATGGTTACATTTGTATTTTCTAGAGCAAAGGATTTTAACAAACATTATAGTGTTTTAGCAGTCCTGAAAGTGAACTTACACATTGTTAGTAGGCTTGGGGTTTGTCCAGAAACTTTGTTTCATATTTTTTTAACCAGATCTGAGACTGGCAAAGAAAACCATTTTTAAAAACAGGCACCTGTCTCTTCCCTATTAATTTCTACATTTAAATGTGTGTACTTAAATGTTTTTGTACAAATGTGATAGGATTCAAGGATAAAATGTCTATGATGGCTTAATACCTATTAGATTGAGTTTGAACCTGTAAGCTAACAATCTTCTAAAAGCCTAATACTTAAAAACTGCTGTTTCTGTATTTGTATAACACCAAGTAAAGCAGTGTGATAAACACATCTACAAAGGACATAACAATTGTATGCATATTTGATTCAATTTTGGTGTATTTCCTGTGTTAAGTATGTTAATGATTTGCCTCCACTAAGAAGTTTTTTTGAGAATCATAAAATAAAATGAAATATGTCAGTTTTATTATTCTTTTTTACAGGTCATGGAAAATGGAAGATTTGCAAAATACAAGTATTTTACCCATGTCATGATCAATAAAACAGATATGTTCATGATAACAAGACGGTAACTTCTTTTCCTTTTCTAATATAATTGATAAGGGTGACAGGTTCTCATGTTCATAGTTTCCATATAGCTACACTGATTGCTCTAAAGTCTGATCATATGTTTAAGTTCAGCTTTGTGTATGCTTGCAGATAAACACAATCATAAATTAACAGAATTGGAAGTTAGTTCAGTATTTATTTCAACTATTTCACTGGGTACAAAAATTGTATAGAACTGACCTCTCAGGTAGACTTTACCCTCCCAATACCACTCGAGTTGTTCGGGAAGTCAGCAGTCCTCTTAACGGCATTTCTTCAAAAGAATACATAGATTTACTGTCCTTAACTGGGTATACCAGTGTGAATAGAACATTGTGTGAAGATACTCCCAGCTATGACATCTTCAGAAAAACCTGTAGACTGGACCACTGGGTCTTTTTCAGCATTTCCAACAGTCTCAGACTGGTGTACATGATGGAGAGGAAGACTGAAGCAAGAGCCTGACTAGCTTATGTCTTTAAGCACGGGCTGTTTCTTAAATCAATCTCTGAAAGTGTGTGCTATCAACTTAAAATTGGTGTCTCAACTACAAAGAGCAACTGTGGGAGAATGTCCTTTGAAGGAAAGATTAAGTAGAATCATAGATGAAATGCATTTTTCTCATTTCTTCCCCCATGAAGCCTAAGATGATGTATTTTTAAAATTTCTGATTTTTGACAATGACAGAACTTGATTTTCCTGGAAAACCTCAAGAATTTTCAGTATTTGATTTTTTTTCAGTGTGATTAGAAAAGCCTCTTTCTGGCGAAGGGTGCAAAGTGTATATTATTCTAACCTGTTACATCATTCTTGAATATTTTCTGGTAGTTGGTTCTGTAAATGCTTACCACTCCTTAGAAAAAGCCTTATTTATATGACTTCAACTCAGCTTTTCTAGTATATGTCATGCTATACATTTCCCACTAAGCGTTGATTCATCTACATCCTACAGTTTTTTTATTTATATTCTTACCCTATGCCAATTATTTTTATTATTTGAGATTCTTTAACTCATGTTTTGTTTTAGAAATGCCTTTATTTCTAATCATTGGAGAGTATTGTTATTTTTCATGTTTCTGTTAACTAGTTTTTAATTTTAGTACATTATGGTTTGAAAACAGATACTTTTATAATTTCCATTGTTTTAAATTTATTGGATTTTTCATTTTGTTTTGTTTGTGGTACTGGAAATCAAACCCAGGGCCTCATACTTTAAGGAGACAGTTTACTGTTAAGTCATACCTCAAGCCCTAAATTCATTATGGTTTTTTGTGGGGCTATAGAAATGGCTCAGCTGTTAAGAATACTTGATGCCCTTGCAGAAAATCAAGGTTTAGTTCCCAGCATCTATATGAAGTGGTGCACAGTCACCTGAACTCCAGTTCCAGAGGATCCAATGGCCTCTTCAAGCCTCTCTGGGTACCTGCACATATGTGCACATACATACACTCAACTCAGGCCCACACACATCCACATTAAATTTTTTGAAAAATAAGATTTTAAGCCGGGCGGTGGTGGCGCACGCCTTTAATCCCAGCACTCGGGAGGCAGAGACAGGTGGATTTTTGTGAGTTCGAGGCCAGCCTGGTCTACAGAGCACGATCCAGGAAAGGCGCAAAGCTACACAGAGAAACCCTGTTTCGACAAACCAAAAAAAAAAAAAAAAAAAGAAAGAAAAATAAGATTTTAATATGAATTAGTTTATGAATTTTCCATGTGTGCTTGCAAAAATTAAAATAAATCTTCCATTGACCTAAGTTCCTCAATTCTAAAGTGAATTCTTCCTTCCCCCTCCCCTAGTGGTGTGTTGTTTGTAACAAAGGGAACATTTGGACAGCTTACATGTGAATGGCAGTATAGTTTTGATGAATTTACCAAAGAGCCATTCATTGTCCATGGGAGAAGATTGCGCATTGAAGCAAAGGTATGTAGAATAGACTGTGTTTTTGATATTTATATTTTCTAAAATAGTGCATTGAAGTTGTTGTAGCTAGAGTTTTCCTGCCTTGCCCACCGTCAGGACAAATCTTTATCACCCGCCAGTCCCACAGCCGCTCAGACCTGACCAAGTAAACACAGAGACTTATATTACTTACAAACTGTATGGCCGTGGCAGGCTTCTTGCTGACTGTTCTTATATCTTAAATTAATCCATTTCCATAAATCTATACCTTGCCACATGGCTCATGGCTTACCAGCGTCTTCACATGCTTCTTGTCATGGCGGTGGCTGGCAGTGTCTCCTTCCACCTTCCTGTTCTTTTCTCCTGTTAGTCCCGCCTATACTCCCTGCCTAGCCACTGGCCAATCAGTTATTTATTGACCAATCAGAGCAATTTGACATACAGACCATCCCACAGCAAGTTGTCTCTTTGATCTGTCTTTTATGAATGCTGCTTTGTCTCAGGATAGCTTTTCTGAGACAATGTAATTGTAGTATCTATAAGGGGGGAAAGGCATTTCTTTATTGTCTTTCTAAAACTGTTTTCTTTTTAATGAACTTATGAATTCTGTCTATAGGAACGGGTGAAATCTGTATTCCATGCCAAAGAATTTGGAAAAATAATTAACTTCAAGACTCCAGAGGATGCTAGGGTAAATATAATCTTTTATTTAAGCCTCATAGAAGCATCTTACTTTGAAGCCATATTTTGCAGGAAATAAATTTTGTGTAGGGCTTTTGTTTTTAATACTTTTCAACACTCTGGCTTTTCAAATCAAATTGCTCTTTTTTATTTTTTTTATTTATTTTTTTCTTTTTTATGCTTATTTATTTATTTTAAATTTTATTTATTTTATTTTACAATACCATTCAGTTCTACATATCAGCCACGGGTTCCCCTATTCTTCCCCCCTCCCACACCCTCCCCTTACCCCCAGCCCACCCCCCATTCCCACCTCCTCCAGGGCAAATCCTCCCCCGAGGACTGCGATCAACCTGGTAGACTCAGTCCAGGCAGGTCCAGTCCCTTCCTCCCAGACTGAGCCAAGTGTCCCTGCATAAGCTCCAGGTTTCAAACAGCCAACTCATGCAGTGAGCATAGGACTCGGTCCCACTGCCTAGTTGCCTCCCAAACTGATCAAGCCAATCAACTGTCTCACCTATTCAGAGGGCCTGATCCAGCTGGGGGGGCTTCAGCCTTTGGTTCATAGTTCATGTGTTTCCATTCATTTGGCTATTTTTTTTTCAATAATTGAGTAAAACCGAAATTTATTATAAGCCACAGTCATCCTAGGGACCTCCATGCTATATATATAGCCTCCATGGTTCTATGGGTTGTGGTCTGAGTGTTCTTTATTTTATATCTAGAATCCGCTTATGAGTACATACCATGACTGTCTTTCTGGGTTTGGGTTACCTCACTCAGGATGATTTTTTCTAGTTCCATCCATTTGCCTGCAAATTTCATGCTTTCATTGTTTTTCTCTGCTGAGTAGTACTCCATTATGTATGTGTACCACATTTTTTTCATCCATTCTTCCATTGACGGGCATCTAGGTTGTTTCCAGGTTCTGGCTATTACAAGTAGTGCTCCTATGAACATAGCTGAGCATGTATCTTTATGGTATGAATCAGCATTCCTTGGGTATATGCCCAAGAGTGGGATGGCTGGGTCTTGAGGTAGTTCGATTCCTAATTTTCTGAGAAACCGCCATACTGATTTCCACAGTGGTTGTACAAGTTTACATTCCCACCAACAGTGGAGGAGAGTTCCCTTTGCTCCACATCCTCTCCAACATTGACTGTCATTGGTGTTTTTGATAGTAGCCATTCTGACAGGTGTAAGGTGGTCTTTTTTATTTTTTGAGACAAGATCTCACTATATAGTCCAGGATATCCTAGAACCCACCTTTTTCCTGCCTCTGCCTCTTAAGAGCTGAAATTACAGGTTTCAGCATGTTCCCCTTCTTAAATGCTGTTACACTTCATTTTTTAACTGTCAACAAACACCAAAATTAATTCTGTTCTAATGTTAATCTGTCCACTCCAGCAGAGAAAGTGTAACTATGTTGCTAACTTCTTTACTACACAGTTACAGTGGTGTAACAAAATAGATAAAGAGACCAAACCTGTAGTCAGAAACTGTAGGTTTCACGATTTCCCCTCTTGCTCGTTAGTAGAACTTGGAGGAAAGTCAGTTAACGTTAGTGTCTTTGAAATGAGAGTGGTCTAAACTGAAAAGTACTGTACATGGTTGAGGGATCATGACAATTACAAGAAAATGAAGCCTATTGTCACATTAATCATAGCTAAGACACTGTTCTTGATGCAGCATTGTACTGTTTGGAGTAACTCATTTTAAGAGCACTGGACCTTTCACTTTATCCCTGTGCCTCCTGCCTTCTTACTACATTCTCCATCAAATGTGGTTATCTACCAATTCACTTGTCACATCTAGATACTAACTGCTCTCCTCCTATGTAACTTGGACCAGTAAGTGTATGCTATACAATTTAGCACATGCTATGCAATTTCTATAAAGGTATTGTGATTAAAGACACCATTGACATACTAATCATAGAAAGGTGGGTGAATTACCAAGAAACAGGAAGAAAACACTGAAGTGTTAATATATTTGTGACCTGGAACAAGGAGACAGAATATGCTAACTGGGCTTTTCTTTGAAGGTAGATTTTATTACTGCTTCAATTTCATTTTTTTTTTAACTAAGCTATGTTTGTGTGTGTTTCAGTCTTGGTAAGTTGCATGCATCTAGAATTTATTGCCAATATTTTGGCACACAGCTATTCATAATAATCTCTAATGATCTTTATTTCTGTGGTGTCATTTTGTAATGTCATTTCTGGTTCTGATTCTTCTTTTTATTCCAGCCAAGAGCTTTGTCTATTACTTTAAGACTTCATTGATTTATTTGTCTCTCTGTCATTTATTTGTTTTGGTTCTTACTCTTTCCCTCTAATTTGGAGTTTGGTTTGTAGTTTTTCTAATTCCTTAAAGCACAGTGAATGGTTTATCTCTGTGTCCATGTTTCTTTGGATCAAATTCTAGTCTTTTTTTTTTTTTTTTTTTTGCAACATTTGGTATAAAGTTGATTTTTAAGTATGGCTACCCCTGGTTTGTTCTGCATTCCATTTGCATGGAATATCTTATTCAGTTCCTTCTCTTTTAATTCATATATGTCCTTAGAAATGAATGCATTTCTTATAAATCACATATTAGATTTGGTTTTGGGGTTGTATGGGTTCTTAATCTAGCCAACCACACTTTCTTTTATTTGGAATATTTAATCCATTTATATTCCACATAATTATTCATAGGTGAGGTCTTAATACAGCCCATGTGGAACTTGAGTTTAACTCTGTCATGGCCTTGCTTGCCCTGGTCCCCAGCAGGCGATACCTTGCTCTGTGCTCTGCTGCCTGAAATTGGGGGAAAGGTGGTAATTGTAATCAGCCACCTAGCATAGTCCATTGGTTCAGTGACCAGGAGTTGTTGGGGTTTCACTGTGGCATGGCATGGCTAAGTTTCAAGTCTAAGAACTGTGCTTAATCAACTGTCATGACCCTGGGGCTTGGGGGGCACATTTTTCCATGCTGAATTGCTTGAAGTTGGATTACAGTGTGGTATGTGCAACTCTTACCTTCCTTCTTAGATGTCTTTTTTTGTTCTCCATACTTAATAAACAGGCATTGTGGTCTCACCTAATTTCCTTAGCTCTTTCTTATGAAGGCAGTTTGATACATGAGTAGCTGTTCAACTTGGTGTATTTGTGAGGAGACAGTCACCAAAGGATCTTATTTAGCTACCTTCTAAATCTTTTAGAAATGAGACACAACTATATCACAACCTTTCACTGATCATGCAGATCCCACAATCATGGACACTATTGATAGAAAGGTTTGTATTAATTTCATTTTAATAATTTCTAGTCATTTCAACATATTTTTTTTTTATCATGAGAGGATCGAAACTGCACAAAGATGTTTCTGTGCTATTACCAACTACAAAATTGTAATTGTTCCTACTCAACTGAATTCCTAGATGCAAAACTGGTGCAAGGGGAAAAGAGCTTTGCAAAACGGATTGTTCAGACAATGCTAGTTGTCTGGTCACCAAATTATCCTTTTCCTGGCAGAATAATTTATTGTACTTTGCTTATTCTCAAGATGTTCCTTTAATTCCCAAGATGAACTTCTAATTCCAAGGACCTTAGAGAAATAGTGTTCCTCTGAACTCTGGACTATGTCAGTATTCTCTTCTATAGTATGTAGGTTAGCTATTGGCTATCAGTTTATGCCCAAACTTAATGTTGGCTCTAGATTTCCATTCATTATATTTTTTTCATCACAGGTCCATTGAGATGAGTAAATGTTCTTTATTTCTCCCCAACAGTGGATCCTTACAAAGCTGGAAGAAGCAAGAGAACCGTCTCCGAGCCTCTGAAGAGGGACGCCGCTGCCTGGAGGCACCACACTTCATTATTACAGTTCCGTGCTGTTCCCTCCAACCCTGTGGAGAATAGGAGTCATTTTAGGGACCCTCTGCTCTTAGATGCTTTCAAACAAACAAACAAAACAGAGCCAACTGGGCAAACAGCTATGTGATTAAAATACTAGAAGGTCCATTCAGTTTCCTAATCTGAATCATGCATCTGGTTATGATTCCTAATATTTTATAAAAGGAAGTGTTTACTCCAGGATAGTCTCAGTAGTGTAGAGAGATTGCTCACAGTCTTCATGTCAAACAAAATGTAGTTTCCCATTTAATGTTGTAAACTTCTCTTATGCTTACTTTGTCTCCCTGAGGGGTGGAAAATGATCAGATTAAGCACTGCCTCAGTAATGACATTGAACACTTTGGTAATTTCTTCAGAATCATGAAGTTCTTTTTACAAATAAATATTTTGGTATTTTCCTTATTTTTTAAAAAAAATTATTTGGTTTATACTAAAATGCATAGTATAACTGTGAAAAAAACAATCTTTTGAGATTGGACATAATATCCCTTGGATCACAGACTTAGAGGCTTTAAAAACTGAGTGTCATATCCAAAAAGGTAAAGTCCCTCCAGATCTTTAAAGCCTTGGAAATACTTCCTCAGGGGAACTCCATGGATTTACCTACTTTGTGTTGTTAATAGACGGTTGTTTTCAAAGGAAAAAATTAAAGCCTTAATAATGCTTACCTTCTGTTTACTGGTAACAGGAATTTAAAAATACAAAAAACAAAAACTCTTTCCAACATCTAAGCTCTAATAAGTTATGTTCTAGAATAAACAGCTTCGCTCATGAGTTAAAGTGCAAACCCTAAAATCTAACCAGTAACCATTCCTGTTGCTTTGGATTAAGAATTTCAGGTTTGCCTACTTTGTAGTTATTCAGGTGAGAAACACTTACTTAAAAATGCAGGCTCGTCACTACAAAAATTCTCAACTCCATCATAGTAAAAAATAAGGTTACAGGTTTTTTTCCCTTTGGATTTTGTCCAAGATCTTTGCTCTTTACTATCAGTGGACTATTTAAAGTGAAAAAGAATGAATGTCCAATTGTGAACTATTAAATAGAATGTCTTCATCGGTTATTGAATACCACACAGTGTTCAATCTAGATTGTCACGTTAACAACTTGTTATAAACTGGTGTTGAAATCCAAGCGTCTGTTTGGTCACTGGGTGTTTAACCTGCAGGCTTGTTGAGCCTCTTGTTTGCTGTGAAAGCTGGAATGAACAGCATGTCAGACTGTGGCTGCAGTTTTTGCTGCCCAAATCCTGCTCATGTTACCATCTGATTTCGGATTGTTATTGGTGGAATCTCCCAGAATGCTTTCTCTGCTAAACATAAATTGAATCAAAAGATGACACATCTTTAATGGTTGTAGTTGTGTATCCCCAAGATGACCTTTCTTCAAGGTAAAGTACAAGTTTCCTCTGTTGCTGAGCCCCTCCAAGTTTGCAGATTAAACCTGTGAAGAGAGGTAGTTAGAAGGTTGGTATCAGGGCTGGAGACATGGCACTGTGGTTAAGAGCACTAGCTGCCCTTCCAGAGGACCTGGGTTCAATTCCCAGCACCCACGTGGCAGTTCACACCTGTCTGTAACTAAGTTACAGGGAATCTCAGTTCCAGGGAATCTGACACCCTCACACCAATGCACATAAAATTAAATAAATTCTTTTTTAAAAAAATAGAAGGTTGCTATCCTCTCCTTATCTAGAATGTTGCTTTCCTAGCATCCCAGTCACTGCCAACAGTTAAATACTTCATTAGTTACTTCTTTCATGAGTTCAGGAAAATTAGATTCATAACTCCCCAAGTGTGCCATGATAAAGTGCAAAAGTAATAGCTAGTATAGCAATTTTGTATCTTCTGGCAGCCAGCAGGATGTGTTTTATTACTAGTGCACATACATAGCTAATGTGCCTGTCCTCCTTGTTCCTGTATCAATAAAAACTGAGAAATAGCTCTTGTTCTTTATGAATCAGGTACCTATCACCTCCTCTCATTACTCTCGCTGTGCAGTAGAAAGACACAGGTTGTTCTAGGCTAATGTATCTAAACAACAATGAAAACTAGGAACATTGATTACCATTAACATAGATGAGACATTAGCATAACATTTTATAATTTACAGTTACATGTTTGGTTCTGTAGTCTTTTTCAGAATCCAGAATCTTTTGAGAAGAATCATCCAGAAACCATAGTGTTAAGATTTCTCCAGTAGCTTTGCTTTCACATTGTTTGGGGGAGCATCCTTCCCTGGTATCTGGTGTCTTGGGGTTTTCTATGATCTCGATCATAATCCTATCCCCCACCCCCTTTTTTTTTCTGATATGTAGTAGCAGTAGTATCCCAGTATCAATTCCTACAAAGTTTTACAAAACAAGAAAATACTCAACACTGAATTTCCTATTCTTTGGTATCACCATGTTGGCTCATTCTTTAGCCTATGCCAATTGTTCCCTTGTATAAGCCTCTGCATTAAAAAGATCAAATCAAAAGGTATGTGCCATATGTACTTAGAGGTGTCTGAAACTATCAGATCTGCCTGTGCTCCATGTCTTTGCTTTTTATCTCGGATGCAACTGAAATCCTCAGTGGCAGTGTTTTTAAATTATAGGTCTTAACCAGTGGATCATGAAATCAGCTTAAGAGCTAAAGACAGCCATATTTTAAAAATGG